GACTTAATAATAATAAAAATAGCCTTCATCATTCATGACCATACTTGCTAACCCTCCCATTTTTCATTGCCCTCTCCCGGCTCCCAGGTTGGTTACTCCAGTCCATTTGGTTATTTTGTGAAGGTCTGTCCTCTAACTCACTGACTGCAAAGTAAAACTGGGATACCATGGCCACTTCTTTAAAACCAGTATGTCAGTCATGAGACCATTAAACACAGAAAATAAGAGAGGCAGCCTAGAGTACCTTCATTTCAACCTCTCCTCAACGGTGGCCATTTTACCCAAGTGCTTTATGAGATGTTATAGGGCTTCAAGCAATCACTTCATCAAAAACAACCCTGTGGGCCCTCGTTGAAGACGCTTTACTTTAAACTGGCCTGTTGTCGTTTGAAAGCACCACTAGGGCAACTTTACTCCCATGCACCAGTTGCTTTTTATTGAAAACCAGCAGCTTGCTTAAGCTCAGACGTCTCACATCCATAAACCACTGATCAAGTTTCCTCCTCACAGCTGGAGAGACCCAGCGGAGGCATTAGCTAGAAGTTATCAGAATGCTACTGGAATGGATGAAAGCACTTTGTGGTAAATCGCCTCCAATGACCATGTAAAGTACTCTTAATACACAGAGTGGCCCGTTCAATTTGAGTGACTGGGTAACAAGGCAGCAACAGTCAAGAGTATATGGTGACAGGGAGACATGCCAGGGAAACAGGCGCGAGAGCAGGAGAGCAGAGTCTGCAAGCAAGGTTTTCTGACAGACAAGGACAATTTGAAAGATAAAAAATTTGGTCTGGCATACAAAGGGGCTGCAACTAACAATTATACTGGCAATTATTTTCTCAATAAATCTAAATATATGAAATGTAAAAACCAAATTAGTCTTCAATTACACACCACTAGTCCAAAACCCAAGGATATTCACTTTACTGTCATATGACATATTTAAATGAACATATATGAACAAATAGTTTCAGCCATCAAAAATACAAATATCACACTATAATACATGCCATCTTCACTCAGCAAGTCTTTGTGATTGGAAATTAAAGCATAAATTAAATTTTCCTTCAGTTTACAGGCTATCTGAGCAAAAGTCCACCCTCTAACAGACGGTTAGCGAGGTTAGACCTGCATTTATTAACTGACACCAGGCACAAAGCCCATTGGAGTTGCTTTCTCCGCATGTCGACCCAGTGTTTGTGAAGCCCAACACTTCCAATCCTGCTTGTCCAAATAATCATTAACTAGTTCAGCCCTGAGTAAATATTTTAAGAACCTCTGTAAACTAGAAGGTAAATACACACACACACACACAGTGTGTGCGTATGTGTGTATGTGTGTGTGTGTGTGTGTGTGGGGGGGGGGGGGGGGGGGGCACGTACATTTCATTGTTCTTCAGCATGTTGAGCTTAGATGTTGAAAGCGATGAGGTCATCCCTATTGTGTATACACCGCATTCTCACCCATTCCACTGCATACCATTGTACCGCCATGGCTCAGTTTAAAGCATAATGAGATGAACTTAGTGACAGACTGGTGCACTTTTACAAAACCATGAACCTGAAATCTATTAAACCCAAAAATGGATCCCCCACCCTGGCTTGCAAGGCCGTCCTTACATGCCAAAACACTTCTTGGATGAGCACAGTGGGCAGAAAGGTTGCTGTGAGCACCACAGATCATGACAGGCCACTTTCCTGTTTTGGTTTCTGCTTCCACCACCTGCAATCCAGATGTTGTACGCTTGGGCATTGTGGCCTCATTTTCTGGTTTGTACAGGTCCACATGAGCCAGTCCGATCTTCAAGCCTAATTTATGTCTGTGGAATAGCTAATGCAAAACATTAGTCAGCTCAAGTTTCTGAAAGAGTTGAAATTATCTGCTTTTTGTTTGATATCATTGTAAATTGAATGCTTTTGAGTTGTTAACTGTTTGACATTAAAAAAAACCAAGTAATGTGAAGCCCTCACCGTAGCAAACTGTGCTGGGTATTTTTGAGTATTGTCAGACATTTTATAAACTGGTAAACTGACTGCACTTATAACGCGCCTTTCTAGTCCACTCAAAGCACTCACATTCACACACCAATGGTACAGCCTCCAGGAGCAATTTGGGGCTCGGTATCTTGCCCAAGGATACTTCGACAAGCGGAATGGAGGAGCTTTAGATCAAAACACAACCTTTTGATTAATGGACAACCTGCCCCCACAAAATAAATTAAACTAAAAATAAATAAACTTAATGATTAAGCAGAAAATAAATTGCATAATATACTCTGGTCCTAAACATAACTGCTACAAATGAGCATCATATCCAGCTCTTCACAAGTGAGGAATTTGTCTGGCTTTGTGTCAGTATGTAGATCTGCAAAGCAGGAAGACTGTTGAGGGTTCAGCCAAAAGCTGCTGCTGCTTTCAGTACATCAAGATGGATTTATCTGTTTACCTCCCCTGGCACAATCTAGGACCTCCTTGGAACCCACAAACCCATGCAAGATGTCTTTCATTATGAGGATCCACCAGAGCTCTTTTCTCCTTGGCACAATGAGCAAGTGCTTATTCAACTTTTCAAAGTAAAATTAAATTTTTCCATGACTGTTTACCAAATGCAACAGCAGATTTATGCTGTTTTGTACAATAAGACTTGATGACTTGACATGAATCCAACAAACACCCTCAAACAGAAAGTAGCCGATATTCAACCAGGACACGAATCACTGTTAACAAGATAGCAACGGCAGAGCTCATGCAAGAAACATCCAACTATCCATTTGCTGCTTACTTACTCTGTTCAAGGTCGTAGGAGACTGGAGCCTTTACTATGCACTTGAAAAAATATTCATTGCATGCTGGGGTAAGTTGAAAGCCCAATTCATATTTTGATAAAACATATATAGACTTTTATTGCCAGTACTGTCAATCAAATGTGATCCTGCAGCTTAGCTTCATTGGTTAAACTCTTGATGAATAATAACTTAAAAGGTGGAGTGTTGGATTCTAATCCAATACAAGCCTTTCAGTCAAATTCAGCGAATATCTCCTCACTAGCTGTCCATTTTGTGTGCGCTGAAAAAAGGTCTGTACACAGCACTGCTCTGTATATGGGGGCTCATAATGAGCCAAACAACACTATTCCAGCCATGATGTGTGTAACTTTAAATGACTTACCCACAGACATGCAGTTTTCTTTCTAGGTGCTATTGTCACTGTTGTTATTGTCGTGATGTTAGCTATAGTAGCAGGAGAGTTGTATGTATCGCTGTCTGGAGCTGGTGTGCTGCTCTGGGAAACCACCTCACCATCTCTATAATAGAGTGTTAGCTTCGCAGCAGCAACTGTAGGTACAGTTTGCTAACCCACAACTTAGCTCACATTAGTTACATTACTTGCTGCGTTGCTGGTCGCTCTAGATCATGGTATTTGTCATGGTGTTGGACTTTCCCAAAATTGCTTACTCCACCTTTAAGATTGTTTTTTTCTACTTAAATTAGACTGTTGCTTATTTAGTCATAAATATTAAATTGAGTAGAGAATTACGTAAGTTTTAACATTATACCGGTTCAGATCACTGATCTATCACAAGGCGACATTATCCACTATGGTAATTATAGTTGTCAGCAATCTCTTTCTGTATTTTATACACAGATAGTATATAATTAATAAGGAGCATTGTTTTTTTTAAAGGAAAGCCGACATAATAACAACCTTCTATAAATTTAGTTCTTAAACAACTGTCCACTTATGAAAAATGAAACTGTCAAACGCTCATAAAAGTCATTTTAAAAGTATCATGAGGAGTAAACCGCATCACTGCCTGAAATGTGTGTTACAGTCTCTTAACATAACCCCTCCCCAAGCTGCCGCATTACCAGAAACATCAACATGGCCACAAAATTATCTGTTTGGTTTGTTGAGGCTCAGAGGGGCATTACAGCCAAGGAATGGAACTAAAACTGACTAGTTTTAGACGCGTAGAGCCGCGATTTCCTGTCGGGTGGTGCGAAGGGGCGGTGCCGGTGACGCGAAGCAAAGGCAACGCGAAGGAATTCACGTGAGTTGAATATGTTCAACTCAAGCAAGAAATTCACATGACGCTGAGTCGCGATAGCCTATCAACGTTGAGATTGTCCGTACGTCACTGACAGCTTCAGAGCGTTGTGTGAAGAGGGCCAGACAGAGCGGGTGAAAATCTGCTTGCTGGCTGAGAGCTGCTAAACTTGAGCTAGAGGAGCAGGGAGCAGCGCCCCAGCTTTCGGACAAATAAACACCCGTGGTCGGACTGGACTTTGCTCGCAACTACGCTGTTTGCTCGAGGGAGGAGCTCGGAGTAAACTGCTTTTATTAAATAAGCTTTTTACTTTAGTTTATAGGATTACAACGTTGATTTATCTTCAATCGAGCTTCTCAGCAGCTAGATTCCGTGCACATCCGGTTCCAGTGTTGTTTGGCACTACTTCATATTTATATAAAAACCGGACATTGCTGGGAGAAAAGAAAGCGAGGAGGTTGAACTACCTGGTGAGTTAAGAAAACATGTGTATGTAACTTTAGTCCAGCTATCGTTGTACTTTACTGTGACCAAGTTAGCATAGCATTGCTCTGATCGATCCGAACTCCATTCAGAAAACAAACATTTTAGAAGTTGTTGTCCTGCAGTCTTGCTGACAGACCTGACAAAGCATGAATTCATATGTTTAACAAAACTGCATCATACTGTAGTTATTTCGGCATCAGTATGATCCGTTTATTGCTATTTAATCACAGCAAAATGTTTACTTTGGGTTCATACAGCTGTAGTAATGGCAAGTTGTGTTTATTAACGTTATCGCGTTAAAATCGCCTTCTCGCGTTGTGTGTGAACACTTGCAGCAAATGTACTCGCGCGAGGAAAGCGTCACGAAGAGAAAATTCGCGTTTGGTCTGAATGCAGCATTAGTGTTTCATACACTACATGTAGTAGAGATTGCAATTGATCCAATAAATAAAATAATAAAAACTTACTGCAAACAGATGACAGCTTCCCCAACTTCAAGTAGAAACAGTTTCCTCCATCCAGCAGTGACGAACAATGACCAGGATATGCTTTCTTTTAATCCCGTGCCTCTGTTTCCCCTACTTGTGTGTTTGTCGTCAGAGGTTTCCCTACAGCGGCATATAAGAAAAGTAACAGTCTATTAAGGAAATTGCATATTTGTCCATGTTTCACTTTTACAAACTACACAAACAATCTGTTAACATCTCCAAATTTTTCTATTAATTGCCTGAAAAGCCCAAACCAAAACCAGAATAAACTTCTCTTCTTTATTTCAAGACGCTCTGAGGTTGCCTGATCATACTTATCCTGTATGAATATTTTAATCAGTAATTCAAGAGGAAGATCTTATTTTTGGTGCACTCTCCTTCATTTTCTGTCATGGAGACAGCAGTGCAGACTTTCTGGCCAGCTTGTACCAACTCAAGGAGGGATATCACAGGTTACAAAAGCAAAACAATAATTAAAGCTGCAAGCAGCGCTGGGCGGGCCCTCGCACGTGTCGCGCGTCGGGGCGCGAGGTGGCCGCATGGCATATTCTGGAGCTCTGCCGGTGCGGCTGTGAATTTGCTACGCGCTTCGTACGCTGCATGAAGGTGTTATATGTCACTTCCTGTGTCCCCTTTGTGGCGCTACATAGCACTTGGCGGTATGAATATAAATTAATATTGGCGTGTGGATGTCTTCAGGTTGGGACAGTTATCAAGCACGTAAAATTTTGTTCAGATGTGAGCATGTACACTGAAGTTACAACAACTTCCTGTGTCATGGCGAAGAGTTGATCTTTGACGCCACGCCACAGACACTCCCATTGACGAAAACTCACAGATAGCACAACTTTTCATCGTCAATGCCTTTAGAAGGCACAGCAGAAATTTGAAGTCGATCCGACTAAATCCCTAGGAGGAGTTTGTTAAAGTACGGAGTGTGTAAATCATCCAAAAATGGCCATAAAATTCAAAATGGCCAACTTCCTGTTGACTTTAGGCTATGGGTTCTTGAGGCTTTTTTGTGCGTCTTGATATGATACATGTCCCCAGAAAATTTCGTGCACGTAGGTCGAACGTAGACGAGGGGCAAATTTTTTCCAATTTTCTAGGTGGCGCTAGGGAGTCATTTTGTCACGCCCATGCACGAAACCAATTAAATACAATTTTTTTCTAGTATGTTTAGGCCCCCAAAATTGAGCTTACTTTGCAGAAAAAAGAAAAAAAAAAAACTTTACAGTTTCAACAGGGACCTCTCGCACGGTTCGTGCTCGGGCCCTAACAAATATCACAGAGATTCTGTACAATGGATCAATCATAAACATAACCAGAGTCTACAGTGCACGCAGAAGGCAGGAATGTTCTTTTCCCAAACTGAGCTGGGTGCATTATGTAATACAATTGACCGTGAGTAATTCAGGCATCAAATTGAGTGGAATCTCATGCCATCAGGATGCTTCAGTGCCAACACAGTCCCATGAGGATGGGTCAGATGTTCCAGAGGGGTTTGGGTGATACAAAATTAGCCATGCTTCGGTAACTGGATTGTTCTGAACAGCATGTTAGCAAGTGCATGTTGTTTTTAGCTAGTAATAAACACCACTTTCCAAGGATTTCCTGTGCCAACAGGCTTGATAAATAGGAGTAGCTTTTATAAAATATAGTTACACAAACACATCTCACAGTCTAGATGTATTGCTAAAAACCAGCTGAAATTACAACACTCTATTGGATGAGCCTGCAGTTTCATGCATTTGTGTAAATGGGCTTCTATTTGCGTTAACAAAATGTTAACTAACATATTTCATTCCACCCTACAGAACTCAGTTTGCATGAGTTGCTGGACATCACTCAGGACACTGAGCTAGTCATACACAAATCAAAAATATGTTGCCAAGAACAAGATCTCTAGTTGGCTTTGCCTTGACGTCAATTACTTCAGTTCACGGTCTACCAATCATAAAAAAGGTCGACAAGCAAGCCAAAACAACAGAGGGCATTAGGGCTCCACTTAACACAGGGATGAGGGAAATAATCTTGTGTGCTTTGGATGGAAATAAAATCGCTGTTCATCTCCATGAATAACGGAGCCTCCTCGGGCAAAACAACAAATAAAGGTGCTTTAATCTCTTAACATAAAATCCTTTGCAAAATTGCTAAACATTCTTCATTATCTTTCATCTCTCCCATTATTCTTCACTCAGTATTTTACAAAGCAAAGATCTGGATAATGTTTGATTCCAGATACAGCTCCTGGTGCCTATTTACCAATCAGCTTATGGTGGATCGGGGGGGGGGGGGGGGGGGGGGGATTTATATTGACTATTAACTGTCAAGAGCCAAGACTGATGCTCTGTCTATTTTCCTTGTCCTTTAACTATGTCCAAACATTAGCAAGTCATTGATATACATCCATAAAACATTTGGTTAAAGCACTGAACTCAGTCCTCTAAGATATTGAAGTTATCACCAATGAGATCCTGTTGTGTTTTTCATGTTGAGCTGTGGGTACAGCCTAGCTTGTGTCAAACTACAATGAGCAATCCAGAATGACTAAAGCCATCAACATATCCAGATTCTAACAAGTCTTTAAAAAACTATTTTATTTCCTCATTGTTGTAGTTAACCACAGCAATGTACAAACAATTTACGAAGTCAGTTATCTTAATAGCAAATATGAAATCTATCGACCACAATTCGAGTTCTAATCGAGTGTTTAAATTGTTGTTAGGTTATTAATACATTTTGTAAATATTAATTATATATACACTTTAATATAATTCTCTAACCAAAAAGATTTGATAAAGAATAATTGTTAAATATGAGGATTCAGTCTCTTCTGGAAAGCATTCATGGTGTACACACAAAAAGTGTAAGAGAGATGTAGCAAATAAAAAAAATAAAAAAAGAGAGAGCTTGACAGAAACATTCTGACCTCCCCACAGCTGGCCAATCACTGTGTGAAGTGGGTGTGAATGTTGGATTGTCCGTTTCAGAAATTGTTGGACACAGCCTGCCGATTCTGACGTCGGAAAGGTGTGTGGGAAGGGGGCTTCCGAAGCCATTCAAGCATCCAACAGGCACTTCTGATGGGTGTATACTGCCGACTTAAGGCTGTTTTCTATAAGCAGTAAGTGTTTTGCGCACTGCTAATTTGCACTGGGTGCCTCACAAAAAATGTTTTATAGAGGAGACATGCCACTCATCAATCACATCCTCAATCCAACTCTAATGGAAAGCCCGTAACGTCAAAGATATTAGAAAGCCAATCGTCTGCTTTTAACAGCCAAAGCGGGAAACATATTTCAGCGCATCATGTGGTTCCACTGATGTAAGGGTCTGTTTTACCATTACTGTTTAGTGATGCATGTGTAGCAGAAGTATAACCGGTGGGGAAAAAAAAAACAAAAAAACACTTAAACCTTGTCAAACCTTTTCAGTGATTTTTATCAGATTTTACTGCTGATTCTATTCGTGTAGTTTTTATGTCCCGGTGACCAGTAGAAGTGCAGTTCTGGCTCTCTCCCCATTCATTCAGATTGGAGCCTGGTCTCATTAGTCCAAAATAGCTGCCCGGGGGCATTGCCAAGATGGCTGCCGAGTGGCATTACTTGCCTTTAAGGACTTTGGCCTCGCGCAGCAAGATGCCCTCTTCTGTTTTTTTTTATGTAGGCTTCAACAAAAAGGGTTCGCCTCGTCTGTCTGATCGGGGCCTAACACTGTTATTCCACCAGTTCAAGGTTCTGGAAAAACAGCATATGAATTTGAAACAAGTAGGTGCCTGAGTTTAGTTTATATGGTCATTCAGTCTGTCTATATTTCACAATGATTAACTACTCAATACAGTCTAGACTTGCCCGTGCCCTTCATACAGTACATCGCTACAACAACGTAACACAAAATGTATCTAATACTCATACTAAACTTGCACATGCGCAGTTCCTAGTTAAGAACTACTAGCCAATCAGAAGCAGAGAAGGGCGGGTTGTGAGAAGCCGGTAAACACGGCTTCGGTTCAGCTGTATATCCCCTTACCAGCTTAGTAACATGGACTGGAGCAAGAGTTTCAGAGTGGTGAGTTATTAATTTGTAACAAAAGTATCTTTCATCCATAAAGTTTTAACTGAGCTCTGTCTATACATCACAGTAACAACTTTATGTCCATTGACTGCCTGGAGGGTAGCTAGGAAGGGAGAGGAGAGGTGTGTGCTGCAGCTCAGTGTTTTTCCACAGGTGTTTTTGAGGGCATGTGTGACTAGCCGTTTGGCGAGCGTTATATGACGCGCATTTCCGGCTGGACTACAAACGAGCTGTTTTCAGGCACTTCAGTTTTCTGTGGGAGATGGGAACTCCCTTTGGGATGGATTTTGGGCTTTTTCACTTTGCAAACCTATTACATGCACAAAAAAAAGATACACAACTCAATAAAGGAGAGGGGAAAAGGCAAAAGCATAATACCACTTATTTAATTGTGTGTAATTAGCACGTAATATATACACAATTAATTGTAGCCCAATAAATTAAAGCTCAAGTTACCAAATATTAATCCTTAATGGCTGTTCCACCAGTGTATGAATGTGTGAGAATGATGAATGCGATGTACTGTAAAAGTGCATTGAGAAGTCGCAAAAGACTAAAAAGGCGCTATAAAAATACGGAGCATTTACATTTACTGACATCAATCAAATGACATCTGGAGTCAATTCCTGACAATTGGCTTGCATACATTTCAAGCTGTAGCACACACTCAACTCATTTCCCCAAAATGACACAGGAGAGACAACAGCAATTAACAAGTCCAATGGGTCAGAGAAGCACTTCTATCACCAGTACCAGCCCAGGCAGTAAACAGCAGCAACATCCTTTTAGTCATCCAGCAAGAATTTGAGAGATCTGTCTGCATGGAAACAGATGGTAAGGCAGTTGGTGGGAATTTCTGCTCCCATACATGTTTGGTGGTAAGATTTACAGTTATCCACCACAGTCGCGTTCTTGCAATGTCATCATGGAGTCAAAGAGAGGAAGAGCTGATGACATCTAGAGATGGTCCATTTCACACACAAACCCATTTTTGATGCAGCTTAATGAACACATGTTCCACCTGCACTCGACTTTTCAAACCAGACAGCAGCTGCCACGTTGTGGTTGTTTTCCCATTTCTACAAACTATATATAAAAGATTCAAGCTAAATCACAGAATCACACTCTGCTTTGTATGAAAATACTGGATATGCACAGCAGTGGTTATTTGTTTGTTTATCCTATAAATAAAAATTTAACGCAACAACGTACATTTTACAAGTATGTTTGAGCATCTCCGAGATTAAGAAGAGAAGCATTTATGGCATTTATGTAATCCTTTACAGTTTCTTCAAAAAAAGTGTAATTAAATTACAGTTACTTATGGAAATGTTCATGATTACATCTGAATATTTTCTGTAAAAAGCTAGGCTATGTTGAAAAATATTTATTTTGTTTGTTAGTTTGTTCTGTCTTTTTTTCACAAAAATACTGGATTGATGCATCCCTAATAAGCTACTGTTGATGTTGTCCAAAATAGCCACATAAGAGTGCATAGTCTTTCCATCTATATGTAAAAGTTTAGGTTTTAGCATTTGCTTGTCTGGTGGTGACTGTCCACTGTGGTTTGTAGTATTGTAATAATTATGATTCCTAGCTAATGCTGGCAGCATTTAATTACTGTTCTCATAATATCTAGGCTGCTCGCTCTCTTGGGGCTCTCCATCTGTACAGTATATTCCTTGTATTTACTTCTGCATGGATTAGCCTACCTAGTCATTGTTTCATGATGCTTTTATAGATTTTTTGCTCATCTGTCACAACTGAAATCTGAGGGGGGGGGTTATAATCCATGCTGCTTTCATGTGCTATAATCCACTCTTACAGCCCTAATTAGGAAGTTATTTCAACAGACAGAAATGAGAAAATGGAGAAAGGGACACGATGCAGAGAAAATGTAGCTTTTAAGTCCCCTCACCTCAGGTGGAATGACTAAAATTACTTCTGCTTGTGCCCTCTATTTCCTTCTCTGGCTGCTATGAAAGGCCCTGACATAGCCTCAACAGGGTTTCCGATTTATCCTATGCAAAAGACCATGGATCAAAAGAGATATGCAATGTCGAATATCAGAGAAAACACCGCAAGGGCTGTTTGTTAAGTGAAAACGACATGCTGGCTTGCACTTCAAATGTGTCAGAGGACATAGACCTAGGCTTTCTAACAACTCTGCTCTCAAGTCTATAGGGATAAAATATTTAAAAATTTTTTAGCAGAATAGCCAGTCATGCCCAACTATCTGTTAAATTAATAGAATAGCTAGAAATCTGGAAGTATTATCATTCAAGACAGGCGGCTGCATGAAATGTATACACAGGCAGTTTTTTATCTTCCTGTTTTCACCATCAGCCTTCACAACAAACAACGTGAGAGGGACACTAGTTGATCCATAACACCAGTACTCTCCCTTCAATCGTCAGACCTTTTCTTCCTAAATCCTGTCTACTTTCAGACCTGACAACTATACCATTCATTGTTTGGAGTGTAAAATTATGTTTATAAATGGGCAGAGCTAATTAGCTAGCATAGCATCTTAGAGCCATCCTGCTGCAATGCATTTAACACAACACTCTTAAAATGATGTTAAGGTTACGGCAAAAAAATAAAAATCTGGAGAGAATTTAAGGAAAAACCCTGATTTACAGGGGCCTAGTAGCAGTTTTATTAAATCATTCTGTTCTGCTGTGTGATCTATTCACTGTTAACGCATATTTCTTGCTCTGGTGTTTCTCAAGAGACAGCCCACCCCAAGACCTTAAATTGAGGAACTCACATTCCAATCTCCAGCATGCTGAGAGACGAAGAGACGAAGAGACGAAGAGAAGGGGGGGGGGGGTACAGAAGTGCACAGTGAAAATGAGAAGTGAAGACAAGGATTGGGGGGGGGGGGGATAAGGTGAGGGATCTGGACAGAAATGATGAGAATGTCAGAGTCGTGGCATGCTTTCCTCAAAAGGAAGGAAGCAAGACGAGAGGAAAAGGCACTGTCAGTGATGGCAGAAGGGAGGAGGGAAATGTGGGAGGTGGAAAGTAAAGAAGTAGCAACGGAAAGTAAGACAGAAGGGGAGGACGAATAGCGAGGCTAGTGTGGGAGGTCGTAAACAGGTGAGACCCCATTTTTAGCTCCTGTCAGCGCTGTGCATTGCATGTAGACAGTGAAGGTGCAAGTTGTCCAGCTATGAGTTTAAAATGTCCTCCGTTTTCTGACTGTGCATTTGCCAGATTTCTGTGTGTACGCTGCCAAAAACCTTGGCTGTTCCAGAAAGGGCTAGGCTACACATTAGAGGAATTCTGAAAGAGTGACCATATCCCAATCACAGTGCATCTGATACAACTTTAAACCTAAAGATTTTGCTTGCAAGCACTAACTAAGGCCCTGGGAAAATCTTCAAACAGAGCGCTTACTGTTCTTACATTGGAGAGGGTGGAAGCCCTTTTGAAGACAAGTTTTTAGCAACCTCCAGCTGTTTAATCCAGGAACACCTAGAGAGCTGTTTCAGCTGTTCTACATCCCAAAAGCCCTTTGATAATCTTTGAGCTGCCCATCATCAACCCTGATAATTTACTTTTTTCCCCTTTTCTCCCACCTCCCCTTTAATTCGGTAGCTACATTACAGAACATGTGCGCCTCCACCTACACACTCAATTTCAATAGCCTACTTAATAGTGTAAATGCAACACAGCCTCCAGATCTGAATGCCTTGGCATTCACAGGCACACGAGAGAGGGATAGTGGCATGAAATGTTCGACAGAGATTTTTTGGGGGGAATGGAGGCAGGGGACGTCTAAACGAGATCGGTTAAAGCACTACAAATACCTGTCTCAGAGAATACAGGCCTATCTTTAATGCTGCTGTTGTGTTTCAAGTTGAGAAACTGACCCAGCCCGGTCACTCGATGAATAGAGATGAGATCTCTTTGACGTGCCCATTCTGTGCGAGTATGTAAGCCCCCTGGAGGGCTGAAGCTGGTAGCCTGAGGACAGACTCCACAGGTTGAGATGGCAGCAATAACAGAAGACAGGGCAGCTACAGGGGTTCAGGGGCACTGACAATACAATTCCCTCTCAGGGTGTCATTTGGACAGAAGAGGGCTCAGACTCAAGCATGGACATACAAACCTGCATAAGAAAACTTTAATGAGGGTTAAGACTTAGGGGTTAAGTCTTAATTAACCTAAAGCAGTACTGAGCTTTACTCAAAGAACAGAATTGGTTCATTCGGTGATTAAATCGTTTGATGATGAAAGCATTTAAGGCACCTTCATCACTTAAATGTAGCACTGTTACATCACTACTCAAATCGGACTAGACTACACAGACGGCCATTTTGATTAATGACACTGGATTTGACAGAACACTGGGTAGAAATTATGCTTTATTTTGATTTTGATATTTCCTGCAAGTTGCTCGATGTGCATTGTTTTTTTCCAGTAAGAATATGTATGATTAATAACATTTTAATCTTGGTTTTATTGTAAACACCTCATAAACTTTCCCTGCAAAACCCAACACACGGTGGCACCTCTGAAGAATTTTTATGTGAATCCACACCTCGCGGAGCTTTCGCAAAGAGCTACAAACGTCCAAACGACAGCAATGCATGACAAGAAACTGCAACAAGCATGACTTGCACTAAGAGCTCCTGAGAAAAGAAGCTGCTTCACAATAAGCATGATAAGATGTCTCTTGGTATGAATAAATCATGTCACAAGTAAAAGATGGACAGCGGTGAATGACAGGAAACCCAAAAGGGGGACTGCAGCTTGCCATCCCAATTAAACAGCGGTCACGCAGGGACTTAACCAAACAACAATTACGTTTATCTGATGGTCATTTTGCTAGGTTTCCTGTTTCTTTAAGAGCCATAGCGAATCGCTGTCTAATTTTTAAACTGTGGATTGTCTTATGGAGAGGCGCAGAGGACGACATGTTAACTGAACGGTGGCTGGAAAGGCTACACAAATCAAAATGTTTAGCTAACGGCATGACTGATGAGAGCTTGCTAACTAAATCAGATATTAGCTAGAAAATAAGGCGGTACATGAGCCGTGACACAGTATACGTTACTAATATTAACTACGCGACAGCTAGCTAAACTTTTTAGTGTAGTTTTCTCTCCAAAGCGTTACCTGTATGGATCACATGAACGTTTACTCAAATAGTGAAATGCAGATATCGAATAAGCCATTAGCAACTTGACTGTTATTAACCAAAAATTAACGGTGTTGATATCGCATGTGTGTCAGTGGGAACACCAACGCAGGAGGGAGCGAACTCACCTTTATTTATTTCCACCTTGTCAGCGTTGTCGAGAGGAAAAATAACGCTCTCGCTAGTCAGTCACCGTCATACAAAAAACCGTCACGGCCGGTAAAGATAAAACGAAACGGCTGTAAAGAGTTTGTAGCTGAAAAACTCTTGTTCTCTTCACCTTTGTGTCTGTTGTTGTCCGCGCACTCCGCCGACCGCCTCTCGGTTTGTTCAAATCAGAAGTTCATCCAAAGTTGCAGCGGTTCGCTCCGCCTCTCGACGACGATGAGGTCACCGCCTACCATACCCGTTGCGCTATTCTCGCGATACGACTCTTGCACGCAGAAGAGTTAGACGGCGTATTCTCGCGATACGACAGAGAGAGGCTCGAAAAGAGCGCAGATTGCTGGTGAAAGGGTGGGAGAGGAGAGGGAAAGCGTTGCTCTGGCAACGGAATCGGACGTGCTTTTCAGCGACGGCTTGTCTCCTCGAGCAATTGGTGTGTTGAATGTTTGGGTGTTGATGAACACAGCAAATGATGAAACCCATGTAGCAGGCATTGCGTCATCTATTGCGGTTTCCATGCAGGTAGGCTCTGGCAAAAAGTGGGCAACCATCAGAAGCTACATACAGTCTAGCTGCTGCCAGGAGTCAAGACGAGCTGACTGACTTATGTCACCATAATAAGCCACTGTTATCTGTGTAGCTGTGTCCAATATTGAGCTTGAAGGTTCATTCTTGACCCTGAGAACAGTAGTTTGACAATAAATAAGTTAAGCCACTGTTATCTGTGTTGCCCTTCATTGTTTAGATGTAGCTATTTGCAAAGGGCACAATGAGATTGCTTTTCTCAAGGGCAGTGCAATCATTCAAACAACATACAAGAATAAATAGATAAATAAGAAGTGGACGTCACACAACTTCATACTGAATAAAACCATAAACATTGCCTGGTGCACACTCACACACACACACACATATATATATATATATACTACTCAGCAGTCTGACTCCCTGTAAGAAGCAGTTCAGGAACCTTGACCATGGAAACAGTAGTCTGACAAAAAAAATATGTTAAGCCAGCTAATATTGAAGGTTCATTCTTGATCCAGGAAAAAGTAGTTTTACAAAAAACTATGTTAAGCCACTGTTATCTGTGTAGCACCTCATGTCGCTAAAGAGTTTAGAACAGTCCAATATTGAGCTTGAAGGATCATTCTAGACCTTGGAAACAGTACTTTGACAAAAAAAAATCTGTTTTAAAAGTCTATATTAACTCTCCTTTTAGCCCTGTTTTGGTTTCCACCATCTCTGCAAGAAATATATGGGACTTCAGTTACTAAATGTGTGACTTTCTTTAACAGCTAGAGTACAGTTGTGGGCCATGAAACCAAAACAGTGAGCTAAAAAACATTAAAATACTCAAACAATTAATAATATAATTGGGGGGAACTGCAGAGTGAGGTGAATACCTTTCACATTCATTTCCTCCATTGTTAACACATATAGCACACATGAGCGGAGAAACTTAAAACACTGCTTTACACAGCTGTGATTTATAGCATCCCATTGACTTCATGGGTGCTAGCTGGATAAGAAGGCAAAGTTCCTTAATTAGAAGAAACAAAAATAAAACTACCCTAGATTGTTTTTTACAATTGATTTTACAATAATTTATGCAACCATGCTCTATAGACATTTTGAGGTGTTTGTACTGCAGTTACGGAAATCAAATCACACCAATGACCAGGCATTAACAGTGACTATGGCAAATTCAACAGGACTGAAGGTGATGCACTGAGATGTTCTGAATGTGTTGCATTTGTTATTATTGTACCTCTTTAGCACACAAACCGGATATTGGACATTCATTTAACATTCACTCAGTGGTGTTTGTCAAGGGTACCAAGTGGTTCAACAGAGGTCACTAGTAGACAGAGTTAGGGTGGTTCAGTGGTGTTTAAAGTTGTTGCTGCAACTTGTTCAGAGTGGCTGAAATTACATTTGGTCAGACACTAGGATTTCTCTTATTGATTTGCAGCAGTGTAAGAAGTATTTAGACATTTGTTTTAAGTAAAAGTAGCAAAACATGCACACACGCACATAAGAAATACTCCATTACAAATAAAAAGTTGTGTGGTAGTTGAACTGTGAACATTCTTGTCCTTATGTCGCTCTTGACAAAGAGATTTTGATCTCACACAACCTGATTCATTTAAGTTACCAAAAATCTTAAAAGTAGTCAGCATTTCTATTAATATTACAGTAACTTACAGTTTCTTCCATTCCTTTGTTTTACATTTTCATTTGAGTGGCTGTGGCTTAGGAGGTAGCCCAGTTTGATCCCCCAGTTCCTCCAGTCTGCATGTCGAAGTGCAGTTGGCACCTTGGCCTCTGCCATCTGTGTATGAATGTGTGTGAATGGGTAGTGATAAAGCCATCTAAAAGAAAAATAGACCAACCAATCATAACACAAGAGTGCCACCATGCAAAAGTAATATAAATACATACTCAAAAACACCTCCAACACCAGAACTAGGCTACATACAAAAGAAAGCACTTTCAAAAATACGTTGCCAAATAGACAAAGATCACAAAGAGTGAGGCTTCTTTATTAAAACCTGAACAGAGTAACCTATGTTTACCAATTTACCAGTAGTATGTCTGTTTGAATGTCACAAATAGCTCATTTAAAAGTCTTCATTAAATTAATGTACTAATGCTTAGCAATAGACAGCAAAAAAGACACATTTACTCTACATATGTGAAAAAAAACTGATTATAACTTAAATGCCGTAAACCCAGCTTTGCACATTCCACCTGCCTGCTTTCCTCACATACATTAATTATTTCAACATAGACATTTAATTAGATAAGAGAAAGAACTGCCCTATTAAAGCAGCACACTAAGTATCAACATAAGGAGTGGGTGAAAAGTGTGCGAGTCACAGGAATTCATCTCTCTCACAATCACCTGTGAATAGTCCTCTGCATTCTCCGTCCTGTTTGTCTTTTCTTCTCAATAATTATTGATTCAGGTTCCATTGAAAGTAGTTCGTATTCTCGTCTTCATTTACTCATTCTCTCCTCATTTACCTCTGCCTTCCTTTTATTTCCACTTTCCATCTATGCATCCATTATTCTAAAATGTCATCCAGGATTACATAACAATCTAATAAAGACAAAGGAAAAGAGATTACCGTCATTAAAACCTCTCTATTCCTGTAGCTCTGTGGGTCCTAACACTACCCACCCCATTCTGTCAAGGGGCAGATATTTGTGTGGGCGGTTTGTATTGTTCGCTGGTGGAAAACTGCTCCCCCAGGATTAGCTCAAGTAGTCTAATTGGGTGAGCAACAGAATGAAATTCAGCATGGATTAAAGTATAGCAAAGACAATAAATGACAGTTATTATGCCAATAAAATAGTGAGGCATCAGTTACTTGGGTGGCAGAAAATAGTGAGAACTTGAGAACACTTAGAGTTAGTGGTGAGGTTTACACTGGCTGAGAACTGCACTGTGTCTTTAATCAGGTTTATTTATGAGAACAATGTAATAAGATCTTTCTGAACACCTTAAACTACTCCAACTTCATTATTGGATTAAAATGAATGATGAATGGCATATTTATCCACCATTCGTACTGTAGGAAAAGCTCCTGTGTAGAGCGGTGGCAGACTATGCAGCCTCTCAAAATACTGACTTCCTGGTGCAGTTGAGTGTGATTGTGTGTGTCTGTGTTGCATGTGCCAATGATGCAACAAATACTTTACCAGCTGGTGACATTTCTTGTGCACAACTGATATGTCAAGGGAAAAACCTATATAACCCTATGTATGTAGTATATAAGTAAGTACAGTCTTATAGATATTATATATACTACTAATCTTCATTGATGCACCGATCCAACTTTTTAACATCCTGTACCTTTTCTGATATCTCAGCCAAAGTCATTCACTGATGCCAAGTAATGATCCAATACCATACTGACAATGGAAACACTGAATTTTATAATTACATTTACATTTATTCATTTAGCTGACGCTTTTATCCAAAGCGACTTACAATTGCTATACATCTCAGAGGTCGCACGCCTCTGGAGCAACTAGGGGTTAAGTGTCTTGCTCAGGGACACAATGGTGGATGTCTCACAGTGGGAATTGAACCCAAGTCTCCCACACAAAGGCAAGCATCTTATCGATGCACCATCACCACCCCACATAATAACATTGACGAAATACTGTTGTAGATTGGTCTCGTCACCGACTGAGGATGTCGCATTGGTGTACCCTTGCTAATCATAGTTTACTCTTTTTGTCAGTTTATGCACAACAAAGTAATGTACTGTTTTTGACTATCAGGAAATGATAAACGATGTGTCCTGATGGATGCAAATCAAAGTGAAACTTTGTAAATCAACTATTACTATCAGTCCGGTGTGCATTGCACTGTGGGACAATAGTGTCCATTCACAAACATAACAAACTAAAATTGTTTACATCTTGTATGTATTTCATAATTGGGTCACAGATCTTGTCTGTTGTGTCCGGGTTCCGTACTACAAATTTTATACTGTATTTACTACTAACTAATTGCATTGTTTCATGTTTGTTGTGTTAGTATTCAATTAGTGTGACCCAATTCCATACTATATACTAATTATGTACAGTGGTTGCAATATATTAATTGTCTTAGTATACTGTTTTTGCAGTCAGTATACAACAAAAACAGCATAGTACCTTTCTGTTTTGCACAGGAAATTATGCAGTATGTGTTCTGCTTGATATGAATGAAACAATGACTTTGGAATACCACAGTCGATTCAACATCAACAATTTGTTTTTAATGTTTTACTACTTTACATCGCAACATCAAACCTGATGTTATAATATCTGATGGCGACAATGTAGCAGCCGACTATTACATTGCGTCTGAGATATATTAAGATGTCAAGTAGTGAAGTCAGACATGGGGCAACCACCTACAGGATATAGGACCGCAGTAACCCGGAGAGGGAGAGTGGTGGAATTCCTGGCTCTGTTGCCCCTGGAAGCAGAGGAATGAAAAGAATGGGCCCCATTCACAAAGTTCCGCTCAAGCGGCACTCCTACACTAATAGAGATTGACATGAAGAAAGGCGACAAGTTGTTTTCACATACACTAGCTCTTTTGTCTCCTTTACTAAGGGGCATTATGCAGACAGAGTGCTCTGATAATAGACAGAATTTGATGCGCTTGTTTTTC